TACCAGGCCTCGTATTGTGTGTTAGTTGTGTCAAACAGTTTGTCATTGACGCCATACCAGGCCTCGTATTGTGTGTTAGTTGAGTCAAACAGTTTGTCATGGACGCCATACCAGGCCTCGTATTGTGTGTTAGTTGAGTCAAACAGTTTGTCATGGACGCCACACCAGGCCTCGTATTGTGTGTTAGTTGTGTCAAACAGTTTGTCATTGACGCCATACCAGGCCTCCTATTGTGTGTTAGTTGTGTCAAACAGTTTGTCATTGACGCCATACCAGGCCTCCTATTGTGTGTTAGTTGTGTCAAACAGTTTGTCATTGACGCCATACCAGGCCTCGTATTGTGTGTTAGTTGAGTCAAACAGTTTTTTCATGGACGCCACACCAGGCCTCGTATTGTGTGTTAGTTGTGTCAAACAGTTTGTCATGGACGCCATACCGGGCCACGTATTGTGTGTTAGTTGTGTCAAACAGTTTGTCATTGACGCCATACCGGGCCTCGTATTGTGTGTTAGTTGTGTCAAACAGTTTGTCATGGACGCCATACCGGGCCTCGTATTGCGTGTTAGTTGTGTCAAACAGTTTGTCATGGACGCCATACCGGGCCTTGTATCGTGTGTTAGTTGTGTCAAACAGTTTGTCATGGACGCCATACCGGGCCTCGTATTGTGTGTTAGTTGTGTCAAACAGTTTGTCATGGACGCCATACCGGGCCTCGTATCGTGTATCGGCTGTGTCAAACAGTTTCTCATGGACGCCATACCGGGCCTCGTATTGAGTGTTAGTTGTGTCAAACAGTTTGTCATGGACGCCATGCCGGGCCTCGTATCGTGTATCGGCTGTGTCAAACAGTTTGTCATGGACGCCATACCGGGCCTCGTATTGTGTGTTAGTTGTGTCAAACAGTTTGTCATGGACGCCATGCCGGGCCTCGTATCGTGTATCGGCTGTGTCAAACAGTTTGTCATGGACAAGGTTGACTGACTTTTCATCAGCTCTTGTTCAATTAGTGGTTGTTGCAACCTAAGCCATCCCCGATTATTGAGTGTGTTGTATCTCCATTCTGTTAGGATAAATAACCTTTTCCCTTCTACTCCTACGCCTTTATTTGGCTAGTGACGTCCTATCTCGAGTTCTCCTATCTGTAATTACTTAAAGAAGTTCTCTCGCACATTATTGTAATGCCATTGGACGGCTCCATTTTAAGATTTAACGTCGTACAATTCGATTTAAAGGGAAACAAACGGGTAAGTTCAAGTAGGAAACATCTTTGTTTGTTTTTTCTTCCAGAGCACGTACTGTACGTGACAGACTCCTGTCCAAGCGGAATTTCTGCGGGACGTACAAAAAGGAGTGTGGCTTGTTGCTTCCGTGCTGCGACGGATACGAGTGTCATCACGACGGAGGTTACAGTGTGGGCGTTTGTAATAAAGACTGGAAATAGAAGTATTCCGGAAGTAGATCCACCGGAAGTCGACAGCTCTGTGGCAACACTGACGCAGTTTGGTACTTTGGCATTTTGCTGACATCATTTCTGTGAGAACCGTACCAGAACTGGTTCTGTTCTAGCATCGTTCACGTTATCTATGAATTGTTAGAAGTAAAGTTGTTGAAAAAGAATTTGTCAATTTATTTGAACGCGTATATCAGGTTTGAGCTATACCAGACCTTTTTTTAAACGGCTTGTGTTATATGCTACTCAAAGGAATTTAACTAACACGCGATTCATTCATATTATTATCAATATACAATATTTAACAAGAGTCATATGAAATAATCGGTTGTTCTTTAACTTCTGTTGAGTTGTATATTTGTGTCCGTTTAATAGATTATACCTAAGTTTCAATCACACAATTTAGTCTTCAAAATTAAGGTACTGGAAATGTAACAATGACGTGTATTGTGTTACTGTATTTGAACGAGGCTAAGAGAAGATCGCCGTTAGAGTATGGGTATGTCAGAGGATGAAACTGGCACACAGTGTCTGACAATTACTTATAAATTGTAATCGTTATAACCCGTGTATAGTTTATAATCTAAATTCCGGCTCCATATTCATTTAGTTTGCTTACACTTAATATTCAACACAAATGCTTTCAAAAATATGTTATGCCGCCTTTTTCGTTGTTTACACACTATTGGACAAAACATTATCTGGAATTTCAAAAATATCATTAACTTAATTGTATATTTAACTTGCAGTCATCCAACTCGTTCTGTCTTTATGTATGTGTATAATGTTATGACTGCCATAGAATATCCTTAGCTTGTGGTAGAATATCGACACATTGTGGTGTCTCGATCTACGAGTAACTCGATGTGCTTCAGACTGTCCACAGGATTTCAAGTTAATCTAGTTTATTCTCTGAATTTGCATTCCTTGACAAGTGTCTTTTGTCACGTGTCAATACGGAGAGTTACCACGGCACCACATAAGTAGCATAAACATAACACATGACGTCATACATGTGCATGCATTTATAAAAAATCCTGTATATCATTTTGAAAGTTTCCAATTGTCTCTCTATATGGAGACATTTTATGAAAGACGTCACAGGCACGGTGTACGCTATTCGAAACCTTTTCGATCACGCCAAAATATATCCTGCTCAGATTCAATCAAAACGTTATAAGCTGAGCGTTCCTTGGTATTAAACGAGAGCCATGGCGGGGAGTGATTGCCTCCATGGTGGCAGTTTGTTTACGTCACTAGACCACGTGACTTATACCGGACCGGAACCGACTTACCTTGAAACTTCACCATCAGCAACTTGACTGTTAGTTTGTTTGTTGTTTAACGCCGCACTCAGCAATATTTCAGCTATATGACGGCGGGCTGTAAATAATCGAGTCTTGACAAGACAATCCAGTGATTAACATCATGAACATCGATCAACGTAATTGGGATAAGATGACATGCATCAACCAAGTCAGCGAGCCTGACCACCCGATCCCGTTATTAGTCGCAATCTCACTGAAACAACTAACAAGAAGTCGACATCAGCCAATTGGAAAACAGATTTCTCGAGCTTTACGACACACGTTTCAACCTGGCGACTTCCACTTCAGACTACGCTTGAAAAATATGTTGGCACAGTTCTCGATTAAAATGTTGAAAACTGAACAAACGAACATTCCGGAATGTCTAATATGTGGTTGCGATTGTATGGCAGTGCTTCCCACGTACTGTGTAACGCCTCCTCCGTTCAAATGTTTATCCCACGGAAGAGATAGTGATAGCGAGAGATAGACGATAATTTTGACGGAATCAGTTGTATGTGCCGTTACTGTCGTTCGGAATACCCCGTATTAACTTTTTCGAGGTTGCATGATTAGAAAACACATTTCGACTGTCACTTTCATGATCTGGTAAGCGACGCTCTGATTGGTCGGATGAAAGGTCGTTCTGACGTGACCCGTAATGGGATGTCCTCAGATCTTTGTTTAGCGATAGCGAGAACTAGGATCTGATTTTAATGAGATTGCGTTAGTCGCCTCTTACGACAAGCATGGGATGCTGAAGACCTACTTTACCCCGTATCCTCACGGGATCATGGCTGTCATCTGGTTGATGCAGCAATGGGTTTATTGCGTCTCAGTTTGACAAACGGTCATTTTGTTTTGAGGCTCCTTCTTCGTTTTACATGTAGCGAAGTTACAATTTACTTGGGCCTCTCTCTTTTATTTTGTGTTTATATATTAATCGGCGTTAGGGATTAGTTATAAACTGAAAAAAGCAAGTTTCGGATCATGTATATTATTTTAATATTATTTTATTTTGCAATGAAGACAGATTCATTATCCTTAACTTCGTTTGTTCGGTGTACGGGTTCATCGTGAAGGAAAGTAACATCTGTCGCAGACCTTTACCAAAATAGTGAAGGTCACGAACACGTATGTATTATTGATGACAGAGAACCAAACCATTGCGGATCTGGGATTTAAACCAGAGACCAACGCACCTTTAAAAGCGAGCGCTTAACCGCTGCGCTACTCGTGTCAGTGTGCAGACCTCAGCAACATACATGCACATGTGTCGAATGCATATTTGAGAACTTCTCATCATTTAACGCTTATGTTACAGCTTACCGAAAGTGTTATTACTAAGCTAATGCGATTAAACGATGTGTAATATAGCACTTAGTGCAGTCCAGTGCTCTCAGATTAAATCTATACCAGTCTATATAATATCAGCAGTCTCAGAAACGAACAAAATAATATTTTTTTATTGGCCCATTTTGTAACAAATATATTATATTAATCCATGTTGCAATATGAGCCGTGTGTTATTCATATCGCAGCTGGTTATGACCCTGGCATTAAATCATTGTAACTAACTACATAAATGTTCTAATAACTTCCTGTCAACGATTACTGCGTTGCAATCGCCACGACCTTTAGAAGTGAGGGAAATGTCAATCCGGCGAATAATCAGACTGATTAGTTGTGTCGGTGAAGCTTCACATACCTACATGACTATCATCATCATCATCATTATTATCATCATCATCATCATCATCATCATGATCATCACCATCATCATCATCATCGGCAGCAGCAGCAGTAACAACAACATTAACACGTCAAAAATATTTCCGTAACAAATAGAATATTTTCACGTTCTCCGACGCAGTAATCCGCACCTCGTCTCTACAGCGAGTGACAATACTGAATGTTGTTTGGCGCCGCAGTCAGCAACTTCCCAGCTATATTACACCGACTTGTAAATAACCACATCTGGGTAAGTCAAACCAGAGGTTTATACATTAACAGGTGACCAAGTTGCCAAGAAACGATGCCATAAAGTCACCCAGGTTACGCAGTGTAACCATCAGATCCACATTAGTCGGCTAGAACGACAAACATGATATACTGGAGATCGTTTCCGGAATCCCAACGAAGTTTGTTGCTCCGCTCGTCTCAGTAGAACAGGCCATTGTATTATGCAGGTTGTGGAATAAGAAGAGTCTAAATGGGATTCGTCCCTACTAGCAATAACAACATTTTTTTAAAATGTGAAAACATTTTATTTCTTGATTTTAACACAACATCTTTTCTTCATCATTGTATTGATCCGAAACACAGACCTCTACGTCGACTCTCACGCGCAAATGCCCGAGTGATGGTACCATTTTTGGCGCCTGCATCTCAGCTGTCCGCAACAGTGGGTCTTTAAGTAGCTGCAGGACTGGCCAAGAGCCCCACAACGGCCTCCTAAGCCAAACGCCACATTCTCACGTCGGCTCAAGTCGGACCCCGAATTGGCAGCGGCGATTCTTATATAAACAAAAAAGAATATTTTACTTAAACAGCAAAGAAAAGGTATGACAGGGTCCATTTCGGTCCACTAAACCGATAACATGTAAGGAAAGTAGACACAACCTTGGTAAATGAGTTACGGAATCGTGTTTGACTGACAAGGATAGAGTGAGTGTGTGAATTGGTGTTATGCAGTATTTAGCAATATTCAAGCAGTATAGTATCACGAATGCGCTTCAAGCATTGTACCCATGTGGGGAACCGAACCCGGGCCTTCGGCGTGACGACCGAACACTTTAACCACTAGGCTACCCTACTGGCCCATCAGGATAAAATTATAAAAGACATTCTGACAAAAATGAATGAGTATGTTCTGTAAATGTGCTAACAATGTGCATGTTCCTTGACTCCAGGTTTCTTTTCAACCAATAGACGGCACTCGCGGTGTTCCATACATTTCCTTACAATAGCAACTGGAAAATACTCACTGTAGTCTTCTGCAAATGTGAAAGGACAAGGTATGGACAAGACTCCCTACATGGTTTTAAGATATTTTTTTGATATTTTCAAAATTTGCATGTTTTCGGATCACGGCAATAGTAGAATGTGTTTTTTTCTATTATTTTGAGGGGCGGTCGGGTAGCCTAGTGGTTAAAGCGTTAACTCGTCACGCCGAAGACCCGGGTTCGATTCCCGACATGGGTACAATATGTGAAGCCCATTTCTGGTGTCCCCCCGTGATATTGCTGGAATATTGCTAAAAGCGGCGTAAAACCGAACTCACTCACTCACTAATATTTGGACAAGAGTAAGTATGACGTAAGGAGCGGTGGGGTAGCCTAGTGGTTAAAGCGTTCGCTCGTCACGTTGGTGCCAGGTTCGATTCATCACAAAGTACAGTGAGTGAAACCCATTTTGGTGTCCCCCGCCTTGATATTGCTGTAATATTGCTATACATGAATAAGCGACCTTAAACTATCTTCACTGGCTCATTTTGACCTAAGTTGATTTTCTTAAAACACAGATAAACACAGAAAGAAATGGTGGTAATAATGTTCAAAAACATTTCTTTCACTTATTTTAGTCATACTTATACTTGATCATGATATAAGTCCGAAACTAACAAGAAAGAAAAAGTCAGACTGAGTTGTTTGTCATATGAACATGTCCGGTAATTGTCAGCCAATTTTTAAAACGTTTCAGGGCCTTTATCAAACTTCGTCCTTTAGAAGTTCTTTTGTGTCAGCCTTCTTTACACCTGTTTTTTTCATAACCAAACAATATACTCCCAAAACAGATTTGTACGGGGCCAACGTGTTCCAAGGCGACATGATCTCAAGAATGGTTATCCCTGACGTTGATATTATATATTTTCTGGGAGTTTTAGTCAATAATATAAAAATATCATTTGGAGAAGTGAACTTTATTCACCAATGAATCCTGGAATTTCGTTTGGATCGCGGCTCATCGAGATTACTTGTTGGAGATAGTTTAAGCTGGACTTGAATGATTCAGGCAGTACGTCAGAACACCAATATTTTTATAACAAATCAGAAAGTTAGTCATGAGTTAAGCGTTAAGTCTTTCTTCTCATTATATTTCCGGTATTTTTCAGTAACCTTTACTTGATAGGTGAGGAGAAAGGGGTTTAACGTCGCGTCCAAGATTATTGTACTTATATAGCGACGTGCATGCACGCGTGTGTGGCGGCTTGTACTAGTCCGGACTGATGGCGATTTATAGTGCTAGCCCGCTGAGATACCATGTCGCCTTTTAACATTAATATCCCACTCAGACACAGTGTACTGACTGCGAGCCGACCAGTCCATGTTTTACCCATTAATGCCGAGCGCCAGACAGGGTAACAACGAGTACCACCTTTAAATATCATTTGGTATGACGCGGTCGGGGATCGAACTTCGGACCTTCCGCTCTCCGTGCGGACGCTCTACCACTTAACCACGGAGGCGGTCGATACATGTGTTTAGCGTGGAAGTATTGCTATTCCTACATGGTACAAGTCCAAGAAAGCTTAAGCAACTGTCCAGTCTTCACATTCAGTATCAGGTCGAAACAGATGGATATATCGAAACTAAATATAACGAATAACCGTCACAACGATCTCATGTCTAAATTCACTGAACGGGTTATGAATATTCCCGGAGTGACTGAGTTCGGATACAGTGAACTGATTTTGGGACGAATAAACGCACTGAGTGTGCCAACTTGTTATTAACTTTGAAACACGTAAACATTATTCTTACTTTTCAACGACATCTTGAATCTCCTCCTGGAGTTCGTCGTGGCTGTCCCGAGCTTGTCGTTCAGTCTCACTCAGGCTACGTGTCAAAAACTTGAAGGGGAATAAAGGTGACACATCTCCTGCTCTAGCTGAAACAGAAGTTGAACAGAGTGTTGGCTGAGCAATACAAGAGTGTGAACAATGGGCGAATGACTGCTATGTAAATAACAGAGGTCACGCAAACTGGTGGTCAATAGTGTGAGCACCGATCCAATGCGTCGGGACATGATGACGATCCATGTGTTATGTACACCCCGACGCATTTGTAATCACCAGAGCCGAAGTGCACAAAATGATTGAACGCTACGACTATCTTAAGTCTGTGTTAAGCTTAACTGATGTCAAAGGTCTTTTGACGTTCGAAATACACATTGTGAGTGAGTTTGGATTTACGCCACTTTAAGCAATATTTAGCAATATCACGTCAGGGGACACCAGAAATGGGCTTTACACATTGTACCCATGTCGGGAATCGAACCCATGTCTTCAGCGTGACGAGCGAACGCTGTAACCACTAGGCCACCCGACCGCCCTCGAAATACCCAATGTATAGCAAAACTCCACTAACAGGCATGCATGGTCAAGTGAGTGAGTGAGTGAGTATGGTTTTACGCCGCTTTTAGCAATATTCCAGCAATATCACGGCGGGGGACACCAGAAATGGGCTTCACACATTGTACCCATGTCGGGATTCGAACCCGGGTCTTCGGCGTGACGAGCGAACGCTTTAACCACTAGGCTAACCGGCCGCCCCTGCATGGTCAAGTGTTTTTCATGAATAATGTGTGAATACTTATGTACAAGATCGCGAACTAGGTGATCATTTGGTTTGAAAATGACATATGCCGTGTACACGTGGGGTATTCGTTATAGTAAGGACTGACAGCATTCCATATACATGTATATAACTGTCGGGCATAAGAAAGAATGCACATAAAAATTGGATGTAATCAAATAAACACAAATATTATGAAAACGTTTCTGGGCTGAAAACAGCAGAAACACTGCAACCTTTAGGTCCGAAACACAACTATGATACCCGTATCAAATACATCCCCATCGAATAACCGTTATGTGTGTTTTAAGTTCAACCCCCATCAAACATGGGAGTCTACTTTCTTTTGCCCTGCAGTGTATATATGCTTCATGTACTAACGCTACAACGTCACGACAACACCTCAGAAATATCCTTCACTGAAACCAATACGATTATTAAATGCACAACACCAGTGCACGTTTTATGCACATGGTGCAACTTCATACATACGTGCTGCTGCATGCGTAATGCACACAAGTCCAAGGACACACACTGCTGCTAACGCCAAACGCCCCATGTCGAGAGATAGTCAAATGCCGTAGTAATGTTTCACACAAATTCATCAGAATATATAGCCATATTTCGCAGAGGCCGGGTTAAGGGCCGTCACGTGACAGTTCATGACATTTAAGCGGATGTCGGAAATTGGAGGGTAGAGGTGAACAACTTATAGGTCAAAGTTCATTCATCTCTAATCACAAAATTAGGAGCTATTTTCTCATATGGGTATGACATTCAAGGTGCGTATATTTGTTAATGTAAACGTTTATGCATGTGTCGAAATGTGTCAATTATATCCAGGCGTACGGCCACTGAGTATAATTACTGTCGGTATAACACAAGGCATGACATTAAGTAAGGATAAGAATTTATGGATAAACAACTTCTTTATTACAATTAAGAGCGACGTTTCGGTGTAGGTTCAATAACACCGTTATCAAGCAAGTGATTTAAAGAGTGTGGTGGGCAAGTATATATACAAGTAGGAGGCAACGTTTATACAGTAGAGTAGATATTGTCATCCTGGAGTAGAGAAACCTGTTATGTACACACAAGGGTAGTGATGACAATCATCGGTGAAGTCAGTGACATAAACAAAGGATGAAGCCAGTAATATAAACAACGGGATTATGGCTGATTGGGGTCTTTGATGAGTTGATGGTACGCCGGGGGCATGTAATAGCCTTGGTCACGGTTGATTCCTAGGAGACTTTAACGCTCACCATCCTACATGGAGCATAGATGATAAAATAGATAACCATGGCAAATTAATCTCCGAATGGATAGAAATAAACGATCTAGTACTCCTAAATAGCAACCAACCCACGAGGTACGATAAGATAAACCAAAAAATGTCGGCTATCGACCTAACCATATGCACCGCAGAGGTAGCTCAAAGTACTCAATGGGAAGTGCACGACGTCCCGCTAGGTAGTGACCACTCCCCCATAAACATAACTATAGGAAATACAAACGCACCAATCCAAACAGAAAACCAAGAACCAAAATTCCATTACAATAAAGCTAACTGGGACCAATTCCAAGATATCTGCAACGAAGCTTACTTAAACGAAATAGAAAATAATGATCCAGAAACCTATTGTAAAAACCTAACAGACTATATAATAAACGCAGCAAAAAAACCTCCATCCCTTTCAAAACATCTAAGACAGGCAAACCGACCGTACTATGGTGGAATGAGGAAATAGAACAGACTAGACGAAAACGTAAATCAGCCTTCAATCAAGCAAAACGCGACTACAAACATCTAAACATAGCCCACGAACTAAACCACCAGGTTCAAAAACTAGTCCAAATAGCCAAAAGCAGAGACTGGAAAAAATTCTGCGAAGGTATAAATAACCGTACAGATGCCAAAACGGTCTGGCGCAAAATCCACGCCATTAGAGGCTTAGAACGACATAAAAAAAACCTAGCATTAACAACTCAACCAACCCCGCCCAAAAAGCAAATAATCTCGCCAACCACTTTTCGGCCGTTAGCAGTAACACCAACTTCAGCCAAAAATTCCAAGACAAACTTAAAACAGAAAAAAAATCAACAAAAGAACCAAACAATAACAATCTGGAAATAAACCAACCCTACACAATGGAGGAGCTCCTCTACGTAATCAGAAACAGGAAAAAGGGCACAGCCCCAGGATTAGACCTAACTTCTTACCAAATAATCAAAAAACTCCCCCTAAAACTACTCCAGGCACTACTCAAACTATACAATCTCATCTACCTAAACGGACAGGTTCCTACTCCCTGGAAACAGGCCCTAGTCGTTCCAATCCTTAAACCTAATAAACCAGCTAATCAAGCTAACTCATATAGACCAATATCCCTAACTTCAAACTTATGCAAAGTAATGGAATCAATGGCTAAAAATAGATTACAACATTACCTAACCCAAAATAACATCATAAACCCAGATCAAAGCGGTTTCACTCCTGGCCGCTCAACCCTAGATAACCTCGCCCGACTAGAGCAAGATATTAAGACAGGACAACTAAATAAACAATATACCACAGGCATCTTCTTAGACTTCTCTAAAGCTTTCGACATGGTATGGCACCACGGCCTAATATAAAAACTTCAAAAAATAGGACTCAAAGGTCAGATAATAAACTACATCCAGGACTTCCTAAACAATCGTAAAATAACCGTGGGTATAGACCAAACACTATCGGACCATTGTCCCCTAGAAAATGGCACTCCACAGGACAGTATCCTCAGCCCCACCCTCTTCAATATAATGAAAAACGATCTATTCGGGAGCCTATCCCCTAAAGTAAACACATCAAAATTCGCGGATGATGGAGCCCTCTGGATCCGCACTAAAAGCATTAAAATGGCCCAAAATTTACTCCAAAAATCTCTTAATAAAATACAACAATGGGCTGACAAATGGGGCTTCTCCCTTAACTCAGAAAAAAACAACAGGAATAGTATTCAAACATAAAAACATGAAACCCGCCTCCCCAATCCTCCAGCTAAACAACCAAACAATCAAATTTCAAAAACAAACCAAATTCTTAGGACTTATTTTCGATGAACATCTCACCTGGGATGCTCACATCCAAAACCTAACAACTAAATGCAGTAAAGACCTAAACACCCTAAGATGCCTAACTGGCTCTAACTGGGGAGCCTCCAAAGATACCCTCCTCTCTCTCTACATATCACTAATTAGATCAAAACTAGACTACGGCTGCGCCATATACAAAACCCTAAACAACTCTCTATCTAAAAAACTTGACTCAATACAATATCAGGCTCTCAAGCTAATTACACGCACCCAACATGGCACCTCCTACACTTCACTTCAGGCCTTAACAGGAGAAATGCCACTAAGTCTACGCAGGGAACAGCTAAGCTTAAATTTCTGGGCCGCGTCCCAATCAAACCCTCTCATCCAAAACTTAATAAACCAAAATATCAGCCCCAAAAACCAAACTCCAGCTCGTAAACACCCCTTACTTACCCCAATATCCCAAAGAATAACAACCCACCTAAATGAACACCAAATTAAAAATCTTAAACAAAACTGCAAACAATCAAATATCTTCACCCCGACCTCCACACACACAGGTTTCGGAGTCCATACCACACAACCAACTACAACCACACAATCCTTCCGACTCCCAAACAACCAATCAATATTCACGGCAGAACTAATGGGCATGGCCTCAGCCCTCCATCATCAAGAATCCAAAAAAACACACACAAAAAAATCCTAATACTTACCGACTCCCTAAGTGGACTGCAAGCCCTCCAAAACAAAAATACCAAAAACACGACCTAAATTAATAAATCAAATACTTAAAAGCTCCAACGACATAACTAAGGCAGGCAAACAAATTACCTTCTTGTGGATACCCGCCCACGTAGGAATATACGGTAATGAAAACGCCGATAAGGCAGCCAAACTATCCCTCAAAATCCCAGAAATAAGCTTAAACTTACCCATCTCAAAATCAGAAATTAAAAGCGTAAACAAGCAAAAAATAACCAAAAAATGGCATAACCTATATCTAAACTCAAATAGCCAAATCAAAAAAGTACTCAGCAAACCACTAACCAAACCAAAAATTCTCCATCCATCAAAAAAAATCGACAGAGTAATCACTAAACTCCAAACAGGACACACCAACCTAAATAACCACCTGAAAAAAAATAAAAAAACACACTACAGGTAACTGCCCACACTGCAAACAACTAGAAACCCCAGAACATGCACTCATCCACTGCACACACTACCTCACACATCGAACCGCATTACAAACCACCCTCAATCTAAACAAGGCTCTCACTCTAGAAGCAATACTAAACCCATAAAATAAACCAGAAAACTTCAAGGCCTTAGACGTATTCTTAATCAAAACGGAACTAATAAAACGCATCTAAAAACACTATAATCTACCAAATCAAAATCACATAAACAAACAAACAAACATCCACCATACCCAGCTCCCTTAGTTGAACCCAGCTTGTAGTTTCCTGATCTTGAAGTCTTTGAGGTTTGTTGCGAGGGTTGTGACTCTCTCCCACTGAATGCTGTGGCTTGGGTTGTCAAGGATGTGGTCTGATAGAGCTGATTTAAAGTCATCTTTGGAGACTGAGCTTTGATGTTCTTTTATCAGTGCGATATTTGTTCTATATCGAAACTAAATGCATGGAAAACATGCTTCTGGTGACTGTATTGTCCTGCTAGTCGTTGTGTCTCTCCACAGCATGTACATTTTGAGTGAGTGGAGCTTTACGCTGGTTATCTTCAGAAATACGTCCAAGCACCAAGAATTCACTTCACGAACTGTTCTCATATTGGTAATCGGACAGGTATTCAGCGTGACCAACGAACCGTAAAATAAAGGGCTACCACAATGACCAATAGTTTAGTCTTTCCTATTTACAATTTACCTTGTTCATTCAAATTTATTTTAACTGGTCTAGGCGCAAATTAAAAACTACCACAGGGTGAGAAAAGGAGTCATGTGAAAACCACAAAAACCACAGATACAAGGGCAGGACCACTTAAAGTGACTTATCAAACATTCGTTACAAGGGATGCTTAAAACTAAAACGATTCTTACATTCTCGTACAGTATCTAGCGCAGGATTCTTTTCTACACATATGTTTTTAGTGGCAATTATATTACTTGTGTTCTATGAGGAAATTCCATTTTTAAGTAGATCACGTGTTACTTTAAGTCGCCTAGCCTTTGGGTATCGTTTGTTGGCTTTCTTTAAAACTTTCTGATGGTAAGTTTGTTATACTATTTTTATGATTTTCACACGGACAAAATGTTGTGTTATTAAAGAGGGTCATTAAAACGAGCAGGCACGATTCATAAAAAAATGTAAGATGATATATTGAAGCCTTTTGAGCTAGGAATTACATTCTCTGGGAAACAGAGAGATCTTAATGTTCACATTGCATCGTGAATGGATGAATTAATTTGAACAGTAATTCAGCAGATCAGATGAGTGAGTGAGTGTTGCTTTACTCCGCAATATTCGTGCATATATCATGGGTTTCACATATTGTACCCATGTGGGGAATCGAACCCGGATCTTCGGCGTGACGATCGAACGCTTTAAC